TCAGTTCACACCGATTTTCACCGCCTAATCAGTAATAAAACCTTATACAATATATCTAACATACCACGGATTGACAATTTTATATTAAAATTATCACGGAATTATTTTAATAAGCTAAAAAAAATTGATAACAACATCATCAATTCTTCGGCCGAATTGCTGAAGCCGTGGGTCGAGCTAGATGTGGAAATATCAAACCCCAGTACTTTACCCACTTTGATAGACTAGGCCTTTTTCAAGATGAACATAATATACCAATTCTGTACCACATCCCTCGCCACAAAAAAAATAAAAAGTTCCCATAGACAATTTCTTGAACAGGAGTCCTCTCTACTCTCGCGAAATTCCTGGTATAGATTTAAATGATTTCTACAGAGTTAAAAAAAAAATACTGGTGGTTAGACCCACAATCCAAATACATGTATGAAATAAAAGAAAGATTAAATCTTTATAAGAATAGTTACCGCCCTAATTGAGGCAGCAATAACTTAAACAGAAGGGCAATCATTCACAATTTTCACCCACCATGATTGAATTATTCCATATGGGAACAAAAACCCGATTGTATTGCAAAGCCGATTTTACTACGCGGTTGATTCTAAAAAACCATAAGCAGCCGTCTTACTATCGACCAAGTATATAGAGAGTATTACACTAATTAATATATTTTAGATGATTTGATATCATCAATTCACCCCCATCACCGCCCTTACCCTTTTCCCTTATAAGGAACATAATGTTGCGCCCTTTTTTTTCTCCTAATCCTACTTCTCCTTTTTTTTGAGCCCACTTATAACCATAACTGTTTCGCTAAAACACGTACTTTTTTTCTTTATCCATGAAATAATGTTAAAAAAACCCCTTATATAGATCTCTATAGTATACTGTATTAATACGAGTGTCTAAATAGGCCATTATTAAATTAAGAAAAACTCTGTATATAGACGCAAAATTTTTTATGACTAGTTTTTTATTACATCAAATGTAAATATCGATGTAACATAAAATAAAAACCATGTTAAGTAAAAAAAAAAAATAGTCTCGTGGTTAGGTTATAAGGCTAGTATGCGAAGGGTTCCGAGTTCAAGCCCAACCGTAGGCGGTATATTTCAAGTTAACAAAATTTGCGAACAACCGACTATTACTGGCGATTGGCATATCAGGCTTAGACCAGGGCTCGACCAATACTGAAACACTACTTGGGCGGCTACTGGAAAATTGAATGATCCATCAATGGTCCAGCGTTTGGATAATAACGCCGGGCCGATAGCGGCAAACAATGATAGACCAAGCATTGGGATCATATCGGGCCCAATATACATTGCAATTTTGGCCCACAATTAGACCAAGACTTATTTGCCAAGTACCAATATTGGGCAATTAATAAATATTTTATACCTAATTAAATTAATCATAAATGGCACGTGAAAGCATAGGTGGTTAAATGGATCTATAACCTTATATGAAGGGGTGGGTTGAGTGGAACAAAAATAAAAATGATGACTTGCGATTGGAAAACCAATGACAGTCAGGTTCCCAGCTACGACGAAAAATTATAGAGAAAAAAAGTAATCGATGCATGTTACGCTCATTTTCCTATTAGTTATACCTTGACTCATCAGTCCTAACTCAACAACGCGTGAAATGACCGATTTTTAACTTAAAATATCCCGCCTGCGGTTGAGTTTGAACTCCGAATCCTTCGCATATATATTAACCCTATAACCTAACTACGAGGCTATCACACAATTCGTATAGTTTGACGTAAAAATGGTCCATATGAATGCAGTAACTGCATATTCATTTACATCATTATTATATTTATATTGTTATTTTTTAGTTTAGATATATTTATTTAATATCTATTTCTATTATTATTGATTTATACTTTTCATATTTATCTCTGATTTTTTGGTGGTCCACGTTTAACTAATTCGTGGAGTTGATGGCCAGAACTAATATAATTATCATTTAATAATGATTGTTTATTATTATCACTATTAGGTTATATTATTATTATTATATCATTATCGTCATTTCACCCTTAACTATCGATGTTTGGCCGAGACTTGGGCCAGATCCGCCAGTCAAGGGTCAGATGGCTACCCATTGACCCGCACACGGGCGCCGAGGCTTGGTTCATGTATGATTGGTCGGATATTGACCTATCCCATGTAGGATGACCGGATTGGCCTGAGGATCGAGCCAAGCTCGGTGCCAATATTTCCGAAGCTCGGAAAAGAGACTGGCCCAATGCTCTATCGAGCCTTGGATGATAACTCCGGCCCGATTATCGGTGCCTTCATTGGCCCAATGATGGCAGCCGATTGACAGCCGAATCTTATTTTACCCGAAAATATTAATAACATTTATTTTTTATTGAAATTTATCCTATTATCAATCTTTTGACGGTAATTGAAAGAGGCTAGTAATAAAAAAGAACAACCGACTAGACTGTAAATGCTCGGCATAAGATTGGCTACCGAGGCACTCATTCAATTAATTAATAAAAATGACGGCAACGATGTCGACCCTGAAAAAATCTAAACGACGAACTCCAATTTTGTACCTGACAAGATTCGAACCTACGATCTTTCGCACACTAGTCCTACGCCCTAACCACTAACCTAATACGGAACTCTTGTAGTAAGAGCATAAAGACGACTTCATAAATTTCAGTCAGTTATTTTCGCGCATTTCTGTCTTTCTTTGATCAATTGATAGAAAATTAATTATCACTCGATTACTGAGTATTTCTGTAATTTATCCAATTAAAAAATAATTGCAATGATCCAAGCAATTATTACTTTTATCGCGAACGCCTCCTTTTCCGAATCTTTCATTTATTATTCACTTGGCCTCAATGAATGCTGATTCCGCTGAAATTTCAACGGATTTCATTGATTAATGTTAATTATAATGTGATTATACTCAATAATTATTTTAAGTGACGGATATTGGGGAAACACGTGGGGCCCATGAATTGCCAATGATGGACAAACCGAATTTTGTTGGATCGATGTGGGCCAACATATTGGCGGAGTATCGACCAACCGAGTATCGGCGAACAAAGCTGGCCAGTGTACTAGCCAAGCATCCGAAAACCGAGTAGCCAGCATCTGCTGACCAATACATTAGCCAAGTCTGCAGACTCGGAAATTCCTATATGGGTAACAGTGAAACACCAATAGTTGGTGAGTTTATTATTGGCCACGTATTGGTCCTATATTGCAGCGCCAATGCTAGCATTGAGGCGCCAATAATTGGTGTGGTTACCATTGGCCACATATTGGCCCAATATTGAAGAACCAATGCTTGGTGCGTATACAATTGGCCAGGTATCAGCTAAATATTGAAGCGCCTATGGTCCGTATTTTTATTCTCGGCCTATTATTGACCTAGAGGTGGTATAGGAATGATTGTTTGGCCAGTGTTGGTTGATACTATGGTTAAAGATTGGTATTCAATGCATGGATTTCCATGACTTGGGCCAATCTTTGGCCATTATTGGGTTACAATAATATGTACACCAGATCTCAACCGAGCGATAGTCCAATGATTGACAATTGGCAAACCCTACTTGGGCGGCCAATACTGGCGATTGGCATACCAGGCTTGGACCAAGGCTCGACCAATACTGACACCCTACTCGGGAATCCTCGGACATGAATATCTTGGCGGAAGTGACACCGATACCAATCCGCGATAATCCCACAGTAATAATTAGCAAAACCAGCCCCGTCGTATAATTTCGAGCCGCGGTAATTATGGCAAATAGTTCTACGATCTGTGGAACAATGTTGACGACATCCACCGCGTGGGCAGTTTGCACATACATACGGAGCAGGCTCGGTGGCTCGTCGTAACACGCGGATACGTCGACACCGGATCATCTCCCTGGAGGTGGAGCCTAATGCTAATCGCAGTACCAGTGTTAAGGATCAATAAGCCCGCCAGCCAATTATGTAACATTACACAAGAAACTTTCTCAAATTCATCAATTCTTTGACCTAATACATAAAAAAATTCCATTAGCACCCCACTTTTTCAAATATACACATGAATCTACTTACCGAAACAAAATTAAACTTAATTTACATTTAAGAAATCGTATTTTACGAGTTGGAAAATGGAATTTTTTCCATTTCAAATTGAAGAATAAATCATGATTACATAAACGATATTTACTTAAAAATGTGCGGATATATTATACTAAAGTTTAGAATACTAGTATATAGCTCTTAATTATGTTTATTTATATTTCTTTTCTAATGTATTCTATTTTCAATGCGATTCTAATGAAGGATTGCTTTCCATGTGCTTCTATCGTCTGTAATAAATAAATAAAATATATTGAATTGAAGTATTGTGGGGGGATGTGTTATGGGACAGGCATAATTTTAGGGATGAGTTTATGCATGACGCTCAAAATATTAATGGATTGAATAAAAATCGACCCCAAAAGGAATAACCGGTGTCGTAAGCTAATAAACAATAAGTTTTATGCGTGGCTTTTTACTCAACACATTTAAGAAAGTTATTACCGTGATAGTTTAACTGTCTATTAACTCATTCCTGTCCCGACATCCACCCATGTCTAACCTCTCTTTAGAATTAGATAATTATTTGCGCTCGAGAGACATTAAAATCTTTTTTTTTTTTAATTTGAACACTACTATGTTATTTTAAACTGGAATCTCCAATATAAATTTTTCTATACACTCTGGTAAAAATTTTTTTATCATAATTATCAAGATGAAATCCTGGTAATTTTATCGGTCGTAAGAAATAAAATATTCCCGTGTTTTTTTATTCATATAATTAAAAAATGACCAGTACACAGTACACACAGATTTTTTAACTCAATTATTGCGTGAAAGTGTTAGAAACTCGAAAAAAATTCAGCAAAAATAGAAAATTAATGTCCACTTCTACAAGACTGAAATCTCCGGGAAATCTCGAAAAATTTCCATGGATTTCTACAAATATCCCCAAAATACCTGCACAGTGACTCCTGTTGTCTGCCATGTCTGCACGTCGAGTCGTTCACTCAATCCACAAAATTAGAAAATCCACAATACAAACGCACAATCCAAGTCCGATTCGACGATAAAGTCACTGAAAAAGCCCCAACGAGTGGTGATAGTAAAAGCCTTTCCGAAATCCTCGACACGTTGATAAAGATTGGTAAATATGCACGGCGTCCCCGGCAAGTGGCTACTGCCACCCTGGATTAAATGAATCATTAGTCCTCATGATCAAATTAACGCCGTAAAAAATCCCATCACCACAAACTTAACACTCAATCTGCCTTACCCACTCATAAACAGACGTTGGGCCCGTAGTTGTGGTCCCGTTAGCGTCTGGCAACGCGTCACGTGACCACCGTCTGACGAGTCCCACCCGAGTGACTCGTCCTTCCCTTCGATGATTAAACTGTAATTTGCAGGTGAGCACAGAGGCTCTTCGGGTGATCATCGTTCACCACTTCCTCGATGACCTCTAATTTTTTCCCCAAATCACCCCTCACCGTCGATCAGAACCACTCGGGCCCACAATCAGCTGTCATTGATTCAGCTATCCATGGAGATATTCTAATCCCCCGGTCTTTAGGGCCACGAATTAATCGGCATTGCCAAATCGTGAGGAATTTTATGCCTGCTCAGAGGTTAGACCAGGACCTCTTTTTTCACTCGCGCAGGCTCAACCTCATTTATCATTATTCCTCCTTAATTCTTCAGTTACTTATGATCACTGCATCAGTCGTTGATTGAGATTCTCCCGAGGAACGCGTGCTGAATGTCCTTCATCCTACTGCCAGTATCGATCGGAAAAACCCCTCAGGAAAATTCACCTGATCCCTCTGTTTTCCCTCTCACCTTAATTCACCTAATCCTGAATAATTCGTCAGAGTCACGGGTTCAATTGTCCCGATTATAACTTAAATATTGAACTTTGTTTTCTGTTGTCTTGAAGGCCCAATCGTGTGCGTCTTGTCTTTCGCTGATTATTGCACCAAAAATATCGGCTTTTTTGTAACTTCAGCTGAGTATATAAAATTCGGAGCACATCGGTCTTGCTAAGTGCGAAAAACCAATGGCGACGTTGGGCGGCTGGTTGCCGGCCTCACACTGGCTCCGACTACTACCGCACAGCCGCCGATTACGCGCCCCGCCTTGTCACTCGCCGAAATCAACCCCCTCTTGGATTTTTTTTTCTGACACATACGACGGTTTCAGGAGGTTCTTGCGAGGACACTGCCAGCGCCTCTGAACGAGCACTTCGCGAACCTCGTCGATACTGAGGGTGGTTTTCTTTTTCAAGGGTTGCTAGGTAGAGGAAACTGCCCATTTCAAAATCTCCATCCATGCGCTCTTTAAAGGGGGCTAATTAATAATTGTGCTGTCAGGACTGACACATCGAGACATGAGAAATGCACCTCGGGGGTGAAAAATTACTGTTATTTATTTCGACTTTTGTCCCTAAAGTAGGGAGTAATCGAGAGTAATCGGTACCTTTGCAATATTTTTTGATTAATTCTACTCATTATACATTAATCTGGATTAATGAATGAAGAGTATGATTCACTTTATTATTTTTTCGGTAATTGATGACTGAGAAAGTTGAATATAATTTTATGGGAAATTTGTGGGAAGACTATAAGTTTCAAATCAATTATTCCAAAAATAAACTATAAATTCTTAAATGTTCAATTAATTAATAATTCAATGTGTACTAATTGCTCAGGCTTTTATAAAAAATTCAAATTATCCTGTGTCGTCCATATTCTTGCTGAATAGAAGAACAATTTTATAATCCTATAATTAGTAATTCCAATGAATTACTAATTATAGTTTATTTTTTTTTCTAATTATTAGTGACATTGAAAATACCAGACTTTCGTTCTCCTCAATTAAACACAATGTCAGCGTCGTGAAAATAACCACTTAACTGCCCATGAAATATAATTATTCTATCAGTATAAACAAAATTAACTCACTCCATCCCTCTTCAATAAAAACCAGAAACTAGATCATTTGGACACCATCTCTTTATTCCGAAAGTATTCTCCTCCATAAAGCTCTCTACTCATAAAACTCTTCAATGTACTCATATTCATATATTTTATTTCCCTGCACTCAATACCTTCATCAGTAATGATTCATAATTCGAAACAAAACGCCCCTCCAACCCAAAATGATACCCTACATTGTGCGGATGGCTCTCAAAGTCAAACGAGCAAAATTACATAACACAAAAGGTACATCACGAAACTAGAGTTCAGACCCTGGAAGACGATTTATCGTACGCTGTCTGTGTTTCATGTTCCGCAACCACTGGACCATTTTCATTCGATAGCATTTCAAAGTATATGGCAATGACAATTGAAACATCCAGTTGGTGTATAGGTGCGCGTGTGAGGATGAGTTGATTTTGTAGGACCTAGATTCAACGAATCCTCACTGCCCTCACTGAGCTCCTCGATACTGAAAGTATCCGTGAGATCTTGTTTGTGCTTTGAGTTGTCCTTGCCACGTGAAATTGGAAATAATGTAGTTTCATCTTCACTGAAAAACAGTTTAATTTCATTATCAAACAGTCAATTACCAAAGATTCGTAGTAATTGGGTTCCAAGTTTTGAGAGGAGTACATTTCTGAAATACCTTTCGCTGTCGCTCCTCCAGTACTCGACCAGTGGATGATGTTCATTGCTCTTATGTGGAATGGGTAGCCTCTGGATTGGTATTAATCCACTCGAGTTACCGGATACCATGCTACTTTTATCATTATTGGACAGCTTTATGTACTCAGAGCTCCGCTGAATACGTTTGGCTTGCTCAATTCTCGCCTCTTTAGAGTATTAAGAAGTTTTTTTTTTATCATTCGCTTGTGCTTCAATTTATTTAGTCACTTACCCAGTTTTTTCTGCAATTGTTTCGTCGTTGATCGTGGGGGTGTCTGTGTCTGATTGCTACTGCAGCTACTGTCACTCGTCTACAAAATACCAAAACAAAACAATTTGTTAAGTAATTCACCGAATTCGATTTCAATCCATAGTCGAACAAATCAGTAGAACGATTCAGGAACTAAAGGGATACATAGTGTACTTCGTCATTGTGAGTTTGTGAGTTTACAGTCCAAGGCAAAGCCGACGAATGCAGACATCATTGTCAGGAAAGTTCTTTTCAGCCTAGTGACGAACAATAGTTTTCGTCATTCAGTCTGTAGGGAGGGTTTTACGACCGCGTGAAGGTCCTGAACAGTTGCCTCACGCCGTGAGTGACAAATAGCAGATTTTTTTATTGAATCAATAATGATCCATTTCTCATAAATTTTGTATTTGCCCGAAGCAAAAATTTTTTTCTATATTTCGACTTGAATAATTCTTGTTTACCGTTTTTCTTAAAAATGTTTGCACCCACCTCCAACACATTCGACATATGCTGGAAAAATCGAATCCTCTGTAATTATTCTCGAAATAAAAAAAAACGCAAATAAGTCACTCGTTTGGATCCGAAATTTTTCCCGAAATCTCAACATCATCTCTCGCCTACCAAAACAAACAAACGTCAGAGGTAAAAACTCACCAGAAAAAATCTCTCATCCTCTCCCTGATTGATAGGTTTAGGATCGCTATCAATACCACTGTCTTCCATGCTGCCTCAAAATTCGCCGACAGAAACAATCACATGAAAAAGGAAATCTCCGAATCAAAAGAATCACTCACGGGAAAAAAGGCATTCTGCCATACGGACAACTTGTTGGAGCTTAAACATTAGTATGTTCCCTGGCCCCCCATGGATCGTTCCCCTGACTGAATCCATGCACCAATCAATTAACAATACAATTATCAGAACGACTTTGTCCAATTGCCACAGGCGTTGTTTATTCCTATATTTCTTACAAACTTTGGCAAAGTAGTGCATGCCCTCACTCGACAGGCGCTACAGTCATGTGATTATTGATTTTCTCCATGTAAAAGTACCAGAGTTCACTGAAATCGAGTGAACTCCACAGTAGTTCTTTCTCTCCATTTTTTATACCCTATTTGGTCAAATTAATCGAGTGAATGCTTCACCCAACTGGAGTGCAAACACGTAATTGGAAAATGTTTATCTCAACGTGGCTGAGTATATTTATACCTGTCTTGCTGTATCCAAGGTAACAGTGATATGTATCGTGAAAATGCCCCACGAATAATAGAAACTCTCATTAATTGACTCCAAGCAGACGATAATTAAAAGGGCGAACAATCAGAATGCCATTGTGATATCAATTAATCAGAACAAATCCCACCAGTCTCCACCCAATAATTATGAAATAAATCGTTGTGTTTTTGACAGAAACTGCCGAGGTCAGCTGTTCTGTTATCACCCAGGGTAACCAGTGAACTACGCGGTGCCTGGTTATGCACCTGAAATACGACTCGAAATCAATTAAATAATTTTTTTTTGTTGTCCTCAAACAAAATTATCAAGATGCCACAACCAGGCAAGAAGACGTCATCAAAAGTCTCAGAGTCTAGTAAAGACGTGAGTATCGATCATCATGGTTCTATGTTAACTGTGATTGAACTTGATTTTTTCCTTTTTATAACGAATTAATTGTAGAAAAACCAGTTTTGCTCGAGTAATTACGAAAATTATGGCAATGGTTGATAAATGATTCATCCGTAGTTTCAAAAGTATTAGAGCACACGAGATTTTGAAATTTTTAATTGAGAAAACTATGGTTGTGAATTGCATTTAATTCGTGATTTTATTCTCCAGCAAATAAGTGTTGGCAAGAGTAGAACCTCGAGGATAGACTTGCTGGGGGGAGACATGGACTGGCTCCGAGGGAAGATATTCCTCAAACCAGAGGATCAACTGCAATTGACGGAGGCAGAATTGCAAGAAGAAATAGCTCGTGTATTGACAGTGCAGGATACGAGGGTTCCAGATGCCCTGGTGGAGTGGTCCTGGAAAAACATGGAGTTCGTGAGACTTCCGAATCCTCCGAACATCATAACTGTCTTCGATGTGCCTGGAACCCTGTTGTCTCGAGACTCGGAGGAAGCTAAGACGCAGCTGGGGAGCAGTTATCAAGCCCCTGAGGAGATTGCAGAGACGAGAGTAGAGGAAGAGAATGTGGAGGCTAAAGAGGAGGATGAGGATGAAGGAGAGGAGCCTGATGACGATGAAGAGGCCAAGCAGGATGGAGGAGGTGAGGTTGAAGCTGTGGCTGATGGGGACGAACCCAAGAAACCTATCAAGGTTCCCAATCAATTCAATTTCTGCGAAAGGGGTGCCCTGACGTACATCAATCCAGTCAGGGACATGAGCACCCAGACTGTTCCACCTCCAACAGCCTCTTTCAATTCCCACGTGTTCCAGTGGACTATTTACGACGAGTATCAGGAGGATTATGCTGCTCAGCAGCAGGAGAAGGAAAAAGATAGGAAGTCGTTGATGCCTGGGCAGAAAAAAGACGAGGGGAAGAAGAAAGCGCAGGCCGAGGCGTTGGCAGTTAATCAGAAAATGCTGCAGGCTGCCAAGACTCTTGAGAGAATGGTCAATCAGAATATCTTTGACGAGATCGCACAGGACTATCGGTACTGGAACGATCCCAGTGATGAGTTCAAGGATGGCGAGGGCTCGCTTCTCCCTCTGTGGAAGTTTCAGTATGAGAAGGTGAAGAAACATGATGTCACCAGCATGTGCTTCAATGCTAAGTATTACGACCTGTTCGCCGTTTCCTTTGGAACTTGTGAGTTCATGTTTATGCTAATTCTCTGGTATGTTGTAGAAAAGTACTCTTGCATTTTTTTGTTTTTGATTTATTTCACATCTGCGTCTTCTATTTGCAATCAGTCTATTATTTAAATAGCAACACATTGAATATCCATAATTTTTTAAAATTCCTCTACCATAATTTAATTTAGAAATTAAGACTTGGATGTCTAAATAATTCCAAACATACGAATATTGCAATTGAATTAGTGAATCGATTTCTTCATCTCCCAGTCTGTTTTGACTCTCCACTGACATCAGGAACAGTCTGTCTGTTCACTTTGAAGAATCCGTCATATCCCGAATGGATATGTGTCACAGAGTCTCCAGTGATGTGCTTGGATTTCAGCGTTTATCATCCACATCTTCTAGTAATTGGTTGCATGGATGGTACGGTGGCAGTTTATAACGTGATGCTTCCACCATCTGTTCCTCAATACAGAAGTAATGATGTTACTCAAAAGCATGGTGGAATCGTAGGAGAAGTAAGAACTATTCAAAGAAAAAATGCTTAATTCATCACTTCAATTGAATGAAAACTTACGAAAAGAATGAATTCATTTCACAAGGAATTAAAAAATATTTAATTGCATGATTATTCAATCTATTAATTAGATTATTAATATAATAAATAAATTGAAGAATGGATTTGAATTGAATATATGGAGTAATTAATTGAATGCTCAATCAATGGATTGATTGATAATTTTTAGGTGCGATGGGGCCCAGACACAGAAGAAGGTAATTTAACTTTCTACAGTATCAGCGTCGATGGAAAGGTAAACCACTGGGTGCTGAATCAAAACGAGCTAGGCCTGACAACAGTAATGACTCTCTTCCTTGATCGCCCGCCAATTCCGGGACCTGATGGCACCCTGATCACCCTAAAAGGCTGCGGCACCTGCATCGCATTCCATCCAACAAAATCTGACATGTTTCTGGTGGGAACCGAGGAGGGGACGATCTACAAATGTAACACAGCCTTCAGCAGCATCTACATGCAGACCTACAATGAGGCGCACAACATGCCAATCTACAGGATTGTCTTCAACAAATTCAACTCTGACATTTTCGCAAGCTGTTCCGGAGACTGGAGGATCAAAATCTGGGAGGACAGTCGAATGGAGCCTTTATTTATGTTCGATCTGGGAGTCCCCATAGGAGATGTCCAGTGGGCCCCATACAGTTCCACCGTTTTAGCGTGTGTCTCCAACGACGGAAAAGTCACGGTTTTCGATCTTAATGTCAATAAATATCGACCTGTCTGCAGTCAACCGGTGGTCAGCAAGAAAAGGAGCAAATTAACGAGACTGTGTTTCAATAATGAACTACCCTTCATCATCGTTGGGGATGATAAGGGAACTGTGAATACTCTGAAGCTGTCACCAAACCTCAGGATCAAACCTAAACCCACGAAGAAGCAGATGCATCTGTCTCCAGCTGAATTGGAGACCCTGAAGCTGGAGAAACTCCTGAGTTTCGTAAGAGAACCATCAGTTCTAGTTCCTCCCCCCGATGTTAGGACTGCGGCTTAACGATTACATTGAGATATATGTTACACTGAGAGAAAAGTTGTATTGCATCTTAAATACCTCCTTGGATTTTTTATTAATTAGTTGTTATTTCTCGAAGATAATTAGCTGATTAACAGTACCCATGGACTGTTTGTTATTAAATAAAATTTACACTGTTTTGTCAAGAGAAAATATCACTAGACCCTGATATATTTATACAGTTACTCTTTGACAAGTTTCAACTCAATTTTTATGTGTATACAATATAGATTTTTACATTACGTAGCAGCTAAACGGCCGATTGAAAAATTCACAATTCGTTTGTTGGGATGACGAGATAACGTTGGCACTACACACTAAAAAATTGATTTCCGTTTGGTATTATTGAAAATTGAGAGGACAACGATGACAGAGACAAATGAGAGCTTGAATTATCGATATTTGATACTCGTAAACATCTGTTGGTTGACAACTCACAAGAAATCATTTGTTGATCATAATTGATTTCAATTAATGTACAAAAATATTTGGTAACGATTGATTTCAGTGACGACCGCCTCTTTGACATCAAGTAAAAGCTATGTAAATCTATTGAAGACTTCGATAACAATCTAAAATGAATAATCATGTTAAAACGCAATGAATCAGCGGCACTGATATCTCAAATTGTTTATTCACTCCTGAATTAATTACTTTTCGGGAAAAATATCAAAAGATTTTTTTTCAGCTAAGGAAAACTGCAAAAATATTTATTCCGATTTTGCGGTGAAACAATTCTCGACGAAGGTGATAAAAAATTCAACAAATGTAATTGATCAATGGTCTCTTCAATTAACTATTTTACCAGGTAGTTCTGGATTCTCTACAACTCCTTTATAATAGTTGATCTCCAAAAAATCCCTGATGTTGTTTGGACTGGGCACTTGCCTCCCTGCGAACTCAATACTAGACATTGGATGGAGAAACTGTTCGGGAAAGTCCCTGTTCTTTGAGAACCAGGAGTCTCGCATCATAGTGCCATTTTTAACATAAAACGGTAGCAGATTGACATGTAATCGATTGGAGTTTGAGAATTGCACTTTGAAGAACTGCCCCTCAGTAGCTTTCTCCCAGACGTATCCATAGTTGTCGGCGATGGGTTTGTTCTTGGCTTTGACCAGCCATGGACAGCGATTGAGATCATCCCGATTCACTCCCACCTCCACCTGGTAGTCCCAAGGGAGAATATCTCCATTCTTCATTGCCCCCAGGAGAGAACTACCCTCCAGCCAATACCTGATCCCCGCCCTCTCAAGATTATCGAAGACATGGTGAGCAACTTTTCTCAGTCCTGCTAAGCAACAAGGGGGGGTGTAACGATTCTGGTAGAGGTACGAGGGCACTCCATTGACAATTGAGCCAAAGCACCGCTGAGTCTCCCTCGAGCAACCGTACCAATCCACTGAACCAGTTGCTCTTACTACTTTTTTTATCCCCAACTTCTCGAACATTGATCTCTCTCGTCGTTGTTGGAGTTGTTGGAGCTTCCATTGGGATTGTTGGCTCCTGAATAGAGGCTTTCCCTCGTTAAATTGATGCCGCATCAGTTGGATCTATGCAAATCATGTGAAAACCAAATTAAATAACTCTGGACTGCCGAAGAATATTAAAGGAATATTATTTCCATTTCAAATCTATTCTTAGTAGCCATAAAAAAGAAAAACCCGCTTTCTTCATTGTTTTTTTTTGAAAATGGAAGAAAGAAGATTAAAAAAAAAAGGCCACAGTATTTTTTTCCGATATATTTACCTTGAGACCAGTGGCAGTTGTCTGAATATAAAGACTCTCCATAAACGGCAACATAAATGGATCTGACAGTTTTTTTAGCGTATTGACATTAACCAGAGTGGCATGTCTCCCCATGACAGCATCACACAGTTGTCCAGGTACTTTCGCTATTCGCAAACTCCATTCTTTTATTTTCAAACTCATCTCCAGACAGGTGAGTTGATTTTTGCCGACTGGTATCGCGACAGCACCGGTGCGAGACGCTTTGATAACAGCTTCCTAATTGGAAACTCAATACATTAATCCTATCCATTTTTAACTCACCAGTAGTCTCATAATTTACCTGAATAAATTGTTTATTGGATATTCTCGTGGAATCTGGGAGAAGCAGTACAAATTTCGTGCGAACATAGTAGAGCGGATTTCTCTCCTCGAAGGACTTGTTGAACTCAGGTTGGAGATTGATCAAGCGTACGTTCTTGAATGTATCATTTGGAAGGTTGATTTCGAGTGGCGGGTAAGGCAGCTCATTACAAACAATGAGAATGGGCATGGCAGGAAACGAATTTAGGACGGATTCAACCGTCGCCGCAACGTCATTCTCAAATGTTTCGAATTGTCTGACGACTATTGTAACAAGACGAGCTAATCGACGATGAAGTCTCTGAGGAGTGTCGTGGGTTGATGGTGCTGATGATGCCGGTTTCGACAAATGCTGGGACGTAAATAGCCACCATATCTTGTGCCATATTATTATATTCCCGAGGAGAGCTAGCACCAACAATGTCCGCACGAACTTCACTCGCATTTTATTCAGTCAATCGTTGGCATCATTTTAAAGGATTATTTCGTCTTGATGGACTCCGACTGATTTTCTAACTTTACTTTTGGGATAACAACTCTTCGTGAGCCACCATATTTCGGGGGTTGTCATGTTGCAATAGGGGTTGCGCATGCGCCTACTAGTTCTGCAGAAGCAAGTTCCTGGGGTGTGATGAAGTGTATGGGAATGAATGGATTCTTCGTTAATTGATGATTATCTTGATGATAGACGGGTTGAGGAATATAGGTCAAGAGGTGAATGAACAATTTAAGATATTCAAGTACTTTGAGCCATTTTGTTTTCATGTTTTTATCTTGACTGCCTTAAGATTTTTTCAATGATTGCCCTGCAAGTTTTGTTCGAGAATTTAAATTATTTCAAAAATGGAGTTCAATTAATTTATTTAGGTGCCTTCTTTTAATTAAACAAATAAATGTGCCATTTTCCAGCGTAATAGGTTTATTAAATATTGTCCAGCGAATAGCGAATAGATGTTTGATTAAAAAAATTGTATTTTATACAAAAATTGATAGATAATCTTTAGATTATCGTTTTTGGTTAAGGCTTGTATGGTTTCATAAGATTCTCCGAAAATTCTTTGACCTGTTGGACACCCCGTACCTCTCTCTCCAGGAGTGGAAGTTTTGTGACATGGAAATCTTCATATAAATCCGTAATCTGAAAAGAAGATTAGTAAATTCATGATTAATCAATTATTTCCTGTATGCTGAAGTTCTGAAACATTATGGAATTCAGTTTACCTGATCCAAATATTTTTCTTGAACTTTGTGCCTCGCCAGGCACAATCTACAAGGCACATCGCCCTCGCTCAAGAACAACAGCTGATTGACAATAATATTGTGCGTATCAATGCCACATTTGGTCAACTCCTGCACAAGTCTCTCCGTTTCGTAGAGGGATAAAAATTCAGCTATACAGACGCAGACAAACGTCGTCTGTTCCGGATCCCTAAACTGCTCATTCACTTGCCTAATTATCGCTAACATCTCCTCAATTTTATTCGAGAACGTGTCGACGTTGAAATCCGTCATACCGAGGAGGGAGCTAATTTGAGTTATGAATGGGCTAATTTTCATTTTTAATCGCATCAGCTTGCCCAAGCCCTTTTCAACCACTTGGGGGAATGATAGTAATCGCAATGTATGGCCTGTGGGGGCTGTATCGAAGACTACTACTGAGAAGTTCATGCCTTTCACGAGTCTGCAATCAAATTAATAAATACTTATTCCTATTAATCAATTTAATAATTTGTGAACTAATTTTTCGGAGCTGCAATTCAATAAATTCAGAACAATTTTTTCAGTTATCGTGTTACAACTCATTTTTAAAAATCGATGTAATCAAACAAATTAATGAATTAAATCTTAATGAATGACCATGGGGATCGCTTAGCAATTAGTGGAGAGAGAAATGGATTGAATTTCCTATTTTCATAACCGACCATTGAAAAAAAAATATCAATTTGAAGGAGTACAATGCACAAAAGCTAAATTGCGGGTTCCAGAATAGAGTTACCTCCCTGCGTTTTGTTCCTCTTGCAATTAATACTTACTTCATGACTTCAGCATAACTCATTGCCTCATCAATACCAGGGAATGCACCAACGATTTCTTGCATAACATTGCGACTTAACCTCATGGCCTCCCCTCCGAGGACTGCAAAAAAAAATCCGCAATTAATCATGCAACTCGTTAAAAATCTTCCAAAAGTTGGCAGAACTCCTACCATTTTCATTTTCGAAATACTCCTCAGGCAGTTCAGTGAGGCCCACGTTGGGGTCGATCTCCATAGCAAATAAATTATCAAAACCCTTGACTTTAGTCGGCACTTTACTGAACTTCTGGTCGAATGCATCTGAGATATTGTGGGCTGGATCTGTTGATATGATGAGGACATTCTCCCGCACTTTGGATAGTTGAACAGCCAGTGAACAGCTGGAAAATCCATCAATGATTTATCAATAAAACGAAACAATTTTATCAAGACCAAAATGCTGCTGACGATTACCTGCAGGTTGTCTTCCCGACTCCCCCCTTACCGCCCACAAAAATCCACCTGAGTGATTTTTGCTCAATGACATTTCTCACAGAGGCCTCCAACTGTTCAAGATCATCCTCAACATTTCCACTCATATTTGACATCAACATGAGAATTCTCTCATCAGCCACCACGAACTTTGACACACTCAGAAGAGGGATTTAAGCTGGAGCTGCTCTCCTGGCAGATATTGACAATAACAATGATTTTGGAACAATACCAATGAGTTAACACGAACCCTTACTTACGTGGCTAAACATAAAACTGATCACTGGAACCATCTAGAAACAATTGTCCTTGGAGGGAAGAGTAGAGTTGATTCTTTCCCCAGGTGATGCCGCCAGCTGATCATTCCGGCGCGCATTTCGTTACTATGGCTACAGTATGCAGTGGAAAACAAACGATTTGTTATGAAAGTTATCAATGATGTGGGGTCATAGTGAGAAGCAAGCTTTATTTGTTGGATGGATTTTCTTCTTGATTTTTTATGTAACTGGTGGAGAAGATGCACACAGTTTGGATTCGCTCGTGATACCGTTTACGGATTTTAAAGATTGCGTCAACAGGAAGTGCTTTGATGCAGCCAGCGGACTCTGCAAATCTTCTGGTGAATATTGCTTGATTAATTGATTAGCCAAGTTGTAGTAGGTGGTAGAAAGGTTCTACTATCTTCAGTAAATTAAATGATAAAGATAGCGACTAGCTCGTTAAATATTTAGAAAAAATAGCTACCAATAATTGATTTTTGTTTAACTCAAGGACGGCTATTCTTTTCAGAAAGTTGCTCAATTGCATTACGAAAGGAAACCCTCGGAAAATGGGCAGAATGTTCCCTAATCTGCCCGTTGACTGACAAACACTGTAGAATAATTATTGACAACAATGACGAAACCGAAATCGAAGATTTCCGCTACGTCCTCACTGAGTTATCTCAAACAACTCGACTGCACTGTTCGCTGCCGGATGATAAGTCGGATTCTCGTGTCAGTAATGACAGTTGTCTTCCATCTGCCCTCGGGATTCGAAATTATTGTCTTCACAGGAATGCCTCCAGCAACTGGCAGGAGCTCAGGAGTAATTATCTGATTGATTTCAATAATCGTAGTATTGATAGTTATTACTTGAGGAGGGAATTGCGGTTTGTTATGGCACTATGTGACGAAGGGGATGTGGAGGCATGCGAGCATCTTTCGAATATCTGCGTTTTAACATTAAACGCTGAAAGTTTCCCGTGTCAGATTTTCCTGACGGAGACTCCTCCGAGGAAACTATTCTGGGCGGTTGGAAATGCCCGGAGTATTTTGGAACGTCGGGGGATCCCCAATAAATTCAAATTATCAAATAACGATTCTGTGAGTATTTTGTTATTCAATTATCTTATTTAATAGTAATGAGAAAATTATGTAGATATTAAGTGCACTTTTTTTAACATTTGACCATATTTTTGGAGACACTGTGTTAGAAATGTTTTTAATTTTTCTTTCAGCAAAAAAACAGACTCAATTTCATCTTTGCCAAATACTCATTGCGGGGAGCCTTCAAATCCTATTCGGATTGGATATCTCCTTGTTCGTTCTTTAAAAACGTACGGTTTGGGATAAACGGTGAAAAAACATGCTGGACCTCTGCCAAGGAATTGATAGACCTAAGAACTACGTTCTACGTACCCTATCTCTCTTTCATTGCCAATGATAATAAGAATAAATACCTGTATCCATTACCAGCATTAGTAATTAACAAGACTCTGGATATGAAGGACACGTCCAAGTGGGTTTTGATGAGTAGATTTTTTATGGTTGATAAAATCACTGGCGCTGGGGTATCAATGAGCTCAGATACCGCCAATTTTTCGAGTATTCCACAAGTGGAAATCCTTCGTTATGTAAAATCCTTGACTATTCAAGTCAGAGCTCAAGAGCGGAAGGAGAGGGGAAAAATATTTCCACCGTTAATTATCCTCGAATATGGGGAACTGACGCAGGATGATATGGAGAAAAATGTGGAGGTGTCAATAGCGTATAAGATCATTTTCAAATTAACTGAGAAAACCACAAACTTATGGATCAAGGTGAGATATTGAAATCAAATTAGGTACTTGACAATCATTTGGCTAATCGTAATTTCGTTTTTCTTATGTATGGTTTCCTCATACAACTTTACACGAGTAAAAAAACGATACTAACACCCTTGAAGTAAACTATATCTATACTATACTAGTACGATTTTTTCGAAAACCTCGATTTTCAGGTTGGAGTAGGAGTGGCTTCAGGCCTCTCTCTGATTTACGCGATATTCTGCACGTTTAGTCATTATCGCAGGAACAACAACAGTGTTCCCGTCCTGAAATCTCTCGGCTGGTTCCTCATCTACTACTGCGGGGCCTTCGGAACTGAACTCCTGATCATCTCCACGACAGTCTGTTTATCAGCTTTCATCTTCTACAAGGGTCAAACAGTCCTGCACATCTTGCTCCCCACTGAGAATACCGAGAAATTGATTAAAATCTGTTCAATAGTTACCTTCAGCTCGAAAAGTATCGAGATAATTGCCCTGGTGTTTCAATTACGAAGCATCGGCATCTTCTTCATCGACTGGGAGATCCCCAGGTGTCTAACGTCTCCGGCAGTCTATGATTCCCCGCACACATATTTGAGGAAATCCTACACCCATAGGTTACAAAAAGGCGCCAGCAATACTCAGCAAACGCCTTCTGAGGTCATCGTAGCGCGAAAGAACAAAACTCCGTCGAGATCTAGTCAAACCAGTCATACTAGTACACCCAGCAGGCAATCGAACAGTCGGAACCTCCAACCATTAGATCAATTCTCACCCAATTATATCGATGCCGATTTTTGCCTCGATGAACGAGACATCAGCCAGAACTCAACCGTCAGCATGTGGAGGACGTATGTAATTGCTAATCAGTGGATCAAGATGAAGACAAAACGGAGAATTAACTTGTTGCTTCATACGTTTACAACTTTGTTTTTTCTGGAGGTGAATAGACACTCAAATAATTTATTAGTACTAAATGAAGATTAATTGAAGAATCAACAGATCGATTAGTTATGAAATCGACTGAATTCTTCAATCAATTAATAAATAAAGTTTTCCGTACTGCTTCTCAGGAAATCCCATCTGGCAATTGATATTACATCGGAAACTTAGAAATCACTACGGAAAAATATTGTCCCTGAGCTGTAGTTATGGTGTAGCAGTATTTTTCCGGCTTGTAGTTATATTATAAAAGTAAAAAAACCCCATAACTATAAGCCGGAAAAATACTGTTTGGGGTATTTAGTTGAATAATCCTCTACCATTGATTGTGATTGTCTCGCAGATACTTGGATTGAAGAAATGGGCTCTAGCCATCCCTTCCCTAAAGCCTCCCCAGGAGCAAATGGATTTCGTGAAAGAAAGTTTCACCCTTAAAATTGCAGTTGGAGCTTTGACATATTTTCTTTTATATTTCCTTCAACTACTGACATCAGTATTATATACAAGATACTACAGAAACTGTCTTCATGGTTTTGTGGACCTGTGCTCAGTGGCCAATATCAGTATATTCATCCTGATCCACGAATACTATGGGTACTACATTCACGGACGATCGGTCCATGGCTTCGCGGACACAGACTTGTTGACTGTAAGCAAAGATTTAAAACGAGAAGAGGATAATCTCTGCGCTCACAGAGGCCTTATCCCTGGGAGCACCGACCAGACGTTCGTCCTGTGCGTGTCGAAGACATTCAAATCGTTTTATGATTCAATAGCTATGAGGGATCCGAATGAAAGGAGATTCTCGAGGAAACACGCCGGAGGGCTAGCCAATTGGGAGGAACGCTGGAAGATACATTTGACAATAAAAAAGTTCCTCTCTGAATTCCTGGATCACTGTTTCAAAAACGTCGATTACACAATAAAGGAGAGACATTTGATGGAGAAACTCTTAGATACTGAATTCATGGACAGTGGCAGAGATAAATCAATTTTTTATATCGATAAAAAACACTCCTTCGATCAGGCATTTTTTTATGGAAACGAATGGGCTCTGGCGACATTTGAGGCATCAGTATTCATGTTAATTTTAGCTTTCGGTGGTGATTATGTACTATCAGCAGTGGCCACTATTTTTCTATCCTCGATTATTGAGTTATCAGTTAAGTTTGATATGAAGAAAAATCTGGCGAGTAAAACATTGATAGATGAACGATTTCTTATGTCGTAATCTGGATAATAAATTGTCTGATATTTATACGTATCTTAAACATTTTCAAGCAATTATTTATTTTATTTGAACTCCATGTTTAGGAACTACACAACACCAATTTAAATCATCAAGATTCTCTACTGAGACTTTCCGTGCTCTTGATGATCATGATGGTGCCAAGGGTGATAATCAATCCCCAGGGCATTCTCAATCACCAAGGTTATGCCAAATGCTATGACACCGGTTGGTACACCTCTGAACATCATCCAACCCAATCTTGACCAAGGGGTCCCGAATTTTTTCTGATAACGCCATACGTCGTTCCTCGCCCAGGGATCCTTTAGTCCTTTTTTAGCTAGTTTCTCCTGAAGCTTCACGAGCTCTGGTGCATCCTCAAGTTTATAGATATCAGCACTGGGGATTTTATATAGTGGTTCGTGATGATGTCCGTGACCACCCATCGTTAGCATCGGATAAAGGACTGAACAGCATTGAAAGATATTATTCAGCTAATTAAATAATTTAAGGACACAAAGAATGAGGACAAAGGAATAATTGAAGGAGAGACGCGATCATATATAAAATTGGCTTAGTAGAAAATCACTAATAAGTAATTTGTCCAGGTGGAACATCTATGGAACGTGATCTTTTATTTAAATTTGATCTTTTTAGTGTAAAATAGATTAAAATTTAGGATCAAATTTGTGTTGCGGGAAGCACTTGAATGGACATAGAAAAATAATGCAAAAAAGAGGGAAAATTATTGAAGGGCGTTAAAGAACGATATTATTTAAAAGGGGTCTACCAAATTTACTAAAAAATAATAAAAACTACGTATCCCATTATATATGTCATATATAGATATATATGTATCTGACATATAATTGCGGCCACCAATGCAATGTGGCACATGATGGCAACCTACGTATCTTTTATCTTTTTTTTGTAAACTTGACAGATCGCTTTTAAACAATATCGCTCTGTAGTGCCCTTCAATAATTTTTCTTCTTTTTTTCATTGTGCTTCTTGTAACATGACTTTGATCCCAAATTTCAATGTACTTTAGGCTAAAATGATCCAATTTGAACAAAAGATGACGTTCGATAGATGGTCCACACGGGCCTTAACAGAGATCAATTATATCAGGTAAGTATTCAATAAATCTTTGATACACCACTCACATTAATGCAAAAACAACTGTTAGAAATGTAAAAATAACTTAAATAACAGGAATTATGTGCTGACACTCGTTGGAATTATTTTACTCACCGCTATCGATTATCAAATGTCCAATTAAAAAATTCACAAGCTGCTAGAATTCAAAAACAACATTATATAATTAATAACCTCTCTTTTATGGAACATTGGGTTCTGAGGCCCTCTGCTCAAAGAGGATACTCCTTTATCTTCCTCCTTCTTTGGTAAAAAAAAAGTATCGACTGGAAAGTGTCATCAGAGATAATAGGGGAAATCAACAGCGCTTATTGTAATAAGGTTCAACAGCGAACTTTCGTAGCGGCGGCGATGGAATTAAGTCAGAGGCCGTACCTGTGAATAACGTAGGGCACGAGGCCGAAAACGTCGATAATGGCGTTGGAAAAACTATTTGACCAGAGATTATAGGGGAGATTGCTAACGCCAATGGCGTGGCTTCAACCGCGAAATTGTCTGGCCGCCCTAGCCGAACTAATTTTGCGGGTGTACCTGTGAATCAAACAGGTCGCGAGGGCAAGAGTGTCGGTAATTTTCGGAGGGCGTGGGTATAGATAAGACAGAGCGCGAGCCCGAGAGTGTCGATAATTCGGAAAGACCAGCAAACGCGAGAGTGTCGATAATTCGAGAAAATCGTGACGAAAAAAAACATCCCATATCGAGCGGAGTGGGGCATGATGGAGAAACAATCGATGAACGGAATGAAAGAAATGAATTCACTTTTGTAAATTCGAAAAATTGTTCAACAAATTGGGGAAAAAATGTCTCGTGAATATATACTCAAACGATTGCGAATCAATTGAAACGTCGAGATTTACTGGTCCCTCGGAACGTTTTTTTTTCAACGGTTCTTTTTTTGTCAACAAATTCGACATGTTGCCTGAAAACGAAAGTCACATGATACAAAGGATGGTAAAAAAATTAATCTTTTTTTTATGAAGAGATCAAATTGCCTTGATGAAATGAAACCAACATGCTTGCAGTCTGGTCCTTGGGAAAACTTTGCGGCATACTTTGTGCACTGCGCCCTCAAAATTAGAGATGGTCAGTTCAACATTTAGCAGGCCAGGGGCTAATCAAATAAGACGTTTAAAGATTGCTTCATAAAGTTCTCCCGTTGCACCTCGGCAGTAGGCATGGACTGCAGCAAAAGACTGAAAAAAGTGTTATGGCAAATTTGAGTAATTCACTATTCCAGAACTAATAAAAATACTAAAACGTACCTGATTATGTTTCCTGAAGCTTACAATCCACATTTGTGTTGCTTCGGGTTTTGTTGGAACAGCCTACAACATATAAATTACGTCTTACTTCCAGCCTATCAGAATATCAATAAAACTTTAATTGAAATTCGAAGAAATGAAAATCTAGTATAATATTAAGAGTAAATGACAATTAATCGGCACCCACCTTCATTGTTCCATCAACTTCGATAATGGTCGCTAAGTTTAACTCCGTCAACATGTCTGGATTAGCAAAAAGTAATGCACAGCCTGTTCCGTTATCAGTGGGCTGCACAGCTCCGACATAATTATCTCCGACCATGGTCTTCATAACTGCATTTTCATCAAGAAAATTCCCCAATTCTTCCAAAGATTTAGGTACTTTTGGGTGTCCCATCGCAATTCGTACGCGATATACGTAACTTTTGATAGCTGGTACGGAGAATTCAGATGCTATGTCTTTAGGATATCTATAATGACCCAAGAATCCAAATAAAACCAATCATAAAATCGTGCATGGGAAATGCTTAGAAATTTTTTTCTTCATTTTGAGATTCATTAATTTTGGAGTTACTCTCGAGATACACTGCGCAAGATTTCCATGGGTTCAGCTTCTGTTTCACGAGCCTCGGTACGGATATCTTTCATCATAGCAGCCTTTGTCAATTCTTTACTGTCGTAATCATGATTGTGATTTTCCCATTTGTTTTCACCGTTCCATTCCACAGACTTGTTAGTCTCACGGGACATTTCTCTGGTTTTTGGTAATGCGTACACCGATAATGGTTTTTGGTGAGTCCCTGATGTACTCGGTGAAATGTATGCTCTGCGTATAATAATAGCGCCGGCCACCATGGCTACTTTCAATCATGAGAAGATTTTTCTCTTGCTATCATAACAGTCATTAAGAAAAAAAAAAGTTAATATATTTCGACCCAGTATCAAACAATATTCTTCATCCTGAGAATATCGAACTACGTAATGAAAAATGAATTCGATACATACCATGTTGTAAAGAATTTTAAGTGAAATACGCACACAGTATTTCTATCACAACGTCGAACAGAAACAATAAATCCTTTTTCTTTTAATAATGAAGCATAGAAAGTCGTTAACGCACTATATTCCACTTGTCCTGTGAAGTCTGTCCTCTCCAATGCTATCCGATGCATTTATACCTGCTTATGATATAAAGAACTTCCAGGGGCTGTGAGGGAAGGATATTTATCATAAAGACAATTAATGGTTTTTTTTAGTTTTATGCTTTTGAATAGAAGACTGAAGAAATATATGATATTTTTCCAGTGATTTTCTTTGATTGCTCACATTTATCTCTCCCTAGTTGCATCTTCTTTTTCGAATACAGATCTCATTAGACCCTATCTTTTGCCGCCAATAAAAGTTGATTTCATCGTTCCATTTTTTTTATTTTTTATTGTTTAGAAAATTGTTTTTTTTCAGTAACTCCGATAAATCGTCCGAATCAATTAAATGGTGGCTTAAAAAAATTGTCCTAATATCTTTTTGCTCCAGTCTGAAGATCAAGGGGACAGAAATAAAAAATTTGTCCTCAATTCAAATTAGCTGCCTCAAATGACTGAACCATTGAAAAAGAAGTGTGATAGACTTTCAAAATATCGATAGTCTCGATCTTCGTTCTTTCTATAGTACCATTCGGAAGCATATTGCTAATTTATTAGCAAAGACAACCACATGATATACTTTTTTTGGCAATAATTATAAATTCAAAAAATTATTTAGGATTTCTTTCGTTACGATGGAGAACGTGGTGGTAGAAATCAATCAATTTCAATGATGAACATTAAAAAATAAAATTTATACAAGTAATATCACTAGACTACAAACATGATCTTTATGCTCAGCATATAAATAACAAAAATAAAATGTTGTTACGATACTTTGGTGTTTCACGGGTTTCTTTTCACTCTATAATGTTAACGCAATAGTTATGATAGTTAATATAGAATAATTAAAATTAATATAACAAAAATCAAGCTCGACATATAAACTGACTGAACTAGTGAATTGACACGATTAGTTTTATGAGTTTAAGATTACTTAATAGTAAACGTGTATCCGTCGAATTCCCAAAGCGATTGTTCATCATCTCCTGCATGTCCTAACGGCTTTGGAGACTCCGGACGTAGTCCACCAGTGTATTGTTTCTTTGAGCCACTCATTGAAGGCAATACACTGTTGTCTACTATTTCTGAAAAAAGATATTAAAAATTATCAATGATATTTGATATTTTGTCGGAAACAAATTCAATTTGTTTAATCCCAAAACATGTTTTACTCGCTAGAGAGCACTAAAATTGTTCAGATTAATGTAATAATTGTTGGTACTTATCCATTTATTCGGGCGCCAATGAAATAAGTATTCTTACTATTTTCATTTGTACCATCCTGAATGGATGTCATGAAAGGGACAGAAAAGTTGATGTTGAATTTGAATTTCGAAATTAGACGAAAACTCGATTTAATCGTCAGCACAGTTATTGTCCATTATGAATTATAATGTGAGAATATTTAAAATTTGTTATAATAATCTGAATTCATTTTTTTTTCAACAATTGGCTAGAAAGTTTCGGCAGGACGAAAGGAAACGGGAAAATAAATAATTTCAATGATTTTCATGGTTGAACTGAATTTTATTTGATATCTTTTAATCAAGATACGCGACAGCGTATCGGGCCAAGTGAATGTTTGAGTGTGACGTCACGAGCCGATGCTGTCGTGTATAATATACACGACACAACTACTGATCAAACTGTTTTAATTTTTTTTCTCGTAGCACGAGAATATTTCGCTGTAACTGTCCTTAGTTACATTATATAAGTTGACTATGAGCTTTCCAAATATATTTTTATTTTCATGATTAAATTAAGAAATAAAAATATCCGCCCATAGCAACCCATACAGCAGGATGACGACAAAATACCGACTGTTCGTCGACTACACTTCCGAAATTTCGTTATACAATTGTCGACAAAATTCCGGAAAATATTACTACTCTGGAGTTATCCTGAAAATATCAACCATCGAGTTATCAGCGAAATTATCCGACAAATTGCTTTATTCAGAACCCCAATCTATCTCTAGCTTTGTCTGCAACATAAGACGGTGATTTATCAGCGGAATTATCCACAAACTTAGGCTCTTTAGTAATAAAATTCATCCACAGTTTTTCCGTAAAGTGGACCTGAAATTTATCAGAAAATTTTCCGTCAATATTCCCACTTTCTTGCGGGATATATATCAACTATGATTTCGTTAAAATTTCTGATATCATTTTCGATAAAATGAAAGGGAATTTCTCGTCCAATCATCCGCGAAAGACTCTGTTAAAACATCGATAAATTGACAACTGGAATTATTACATCAATTAAATTACTTGGGTCCCGATTAATTAATAAAAACAGCAATGTTCTTTGTTGACAATATTAGCTTTTACTTTAAATATGTAAAAAATTATATTCTTGGCGTTCAGCCTGATTTGATATGTTTCTAAACTCTTTTCGTTCATTCATTTCTGTGATTCCACGTACAAAAATTTTTATTAGAAAACCCTACAGAATTTTTTAGGAATTTTGATAGAACTTCTATTGGATTTTCTATACGTTGCTAGCCGTTCCTATTGATATGTTCGATAAGGAATATTATATAGAAAAATGTCAATAGAAAAAGAAATCAATAGAATCTCATTTTTGCGATAGAATTTTATTGACTCAAATTTTCAAGGTTTTTTAAAATTATTTTTTATATTCTTCTCTTCAAAAAAATCGAATGAAAAAACTTAGAAAATTTGAGGCGAAAAAATTCTATGCACAACGAGATTGTATAAACTTTTTCTATAGAATTTCCTATCACACACGTTGTAAGAAAAACGTATAGACAATCCAATAGAGTTCTTTAAGGAGTTACTGACATCTTCTTACTTTTCATGTTTTTTGGAAATTTCTCGGAAATTATC